GTGTTCATCCCTCTCGACTGTCTGCTCGTTGATATTTTCTGACTGCGAACGCTGGCTTTTGTTGTTGTTGAAAGTGCGATCCGATACTCTACAGCGGATCTTCGCGTAATTGTTGATTCTCGGTGTATTTTCCGAGTATCCGTCGTCGCTCCTGCCGGTTAATGAGTCGTCCGCCTTCCAAATGTCGTAAAACGTCTCTCGCTCCTTGCTCTCGATTTCTCTCTCGTCGTTGCGACATCTGCTCGTTAGATCGTCATCCTGCATCGTGCGGCGACAACGATCATCATCGCCGTCGGTCCCAATGACAGTGGCGTCGCTGAAGGAGACCCGTCTGCGAAACGGCGCGCAGCGATTTGCTGTTAATGGCCGCGATGGACACAAGCACTTCCGTCTCGACGAAGGCGCGATATCCGAAGTATCAATGGCAGCGGTTCTAGACTCGCGGCAAGAGGAAGAAGACTCGCAGGCGGATACAATCACCCTCGTCCTTTCCTCGCCCGTGGTACTAGAAATATCTGTGCTCACAATCCTCAATTCTATCTCATTTGGCCGCTCACCACGATTGTGATGCAAGCAGTTACGTATATAGATACTATGTACAGGTGTGAATGACAATCAGACGCGATCGATTAAAATTATTCTCGCAACGTGATATATAAATGAAACAGCATCGAAAGAGTTGATACATGAAAAATAAAACGATAACGAGAACACCTTTAAACATGTTCTCTGGCTTTTTTATTCTTTTTTCTATATCGTGCTCAATGCAAATTAGAGTTTTATTTAAGAAATAAAAATATAGTCTTGGAGAACAATTTGAACGTAAACATTTCATGTGTAACAAAAAAATTTTTTTATAGTTTTATTAAAAAATATTTATTTCTAATTAATAATTTCAATGATTGTCCTTTAATTTAATTTTGCTCTTTTTATTATCTAAATGTTTAACACAAATTTACCCAGCTATAATATAAATATAAAGCATCCCCACAAAGTGATGTAAACGTTACATATCTAATAAAAAATAAATTGAAAAACAATTTTATTGAAAAATGATATTTATTTTTATAACAATTTTAATTTTTTTATTTAATTCTTCTTTGGCATTTATTACCGCCTTTTCCAAAAAAAGTAAAATGCAAAATATGAAGCTGCTTTATACTTGTAAGACTATATTCGTTTTTATTAAAAACTATGTTCAATGCTATAGAATATCTCACAATTTATAATCCTAATTCAATTATCATGAATATTTCTAATTAATAAAACATATATTCAGTCAATTTAAATACATATTAAATATCCTGAGATAATTAAGATTACACACTTAACATTTTACCTCAATTGATTTCGAGGACTGCTCATTCCTCTGGTGAAATCCGTGTTTTACTTTAATTAATGCGTCATTCTGTGATTATTTTCGTCGCCGCTGTCCTCCACAGGAATCAATTTACTCCAAATTTTCTTGAGACGCTTTCAATTGATCTACTCCGATTTCCGAAAGATACCGGATAATTCTTGTTAATTACCTCGCAGAACTGTTCACGTTATTGTTCTTGGCAGCTGGAAGTGACTCCGCAGATGGACAGATTTAAAGTCGACATAGCTTTTGCCTCGTAAATGGTTGATAATTAAACGGCCTACGCATAAAAAGTCATTTTATTTTACTTTACATAGATTAATTTGCCAAAAGAATAGTTTTATAAACAGATTAAGAAGGTCAAATCGAGCAGGTTTTAAAGGTTAAAACAGATCTAAAATTAAACTAGTTTATCAAATTGTCTTGGAAAGATTTAAACTAGTTTATATACATGATTTATATACAATGCTTGAGGAACGTTCCGACTATACTAAATTTTCATCAGCCTCAAATTACAATAATAAATTAAAAAGTAAAATTATAATGGTTAAAAACTTTGGATAAAATTCAAAGATAAATAATATATTTATAAATAAATTAGTTAATATATTTCTTTTTAATTTTAAATTATGTGGATTTGAATAATATATTAGGTGTTGGAATTAATTCGTAGCGTTTTTTAATGAAAGAATGTTATTTATTTCACATGAGCATTAAAAAATACATTAATGAAAGTACTTCCCATCACTTGTAAAACGCTACGAATTAATTCCAACACCTAATATATTTCTTATATTTTTAAGAGATTTTAATTTAACTTGTGCATACAATCAACTGAGTTTTCTGAATTTGGATGTTAACAGTTACTGCAGTTATCAAACAATTACTACAATCAAGATGAAACTTGAAAAAACATTAGTTATTCCTATTTATATTTTTGTTCTGAATAATAGATACTCTTCTTTTCCTATAATTTAAATTCTACGTATGTGTATAAATTATGAAATATTTCATCTAAATTACATTGAACTATAACTTGTATTTTCATACTTGATTATTCGATCAAAGTGATGAGGCACAAATAATCTAGTATATAAAATTAATTAATATATTGCGGATCCGATGTGAATGCAATGTGAATGCGGAAGATCGACCAGATAAAAATTAATTAGAAATTATATCTAAGCTACATGATATGATAAAAACAGAAATGTCAAATATTTTAGATAAATAATTTGAAATTTACGAATTAAAAATACAATTTAATCAGATAGTTTTTTCTTACTTAATTCTATTGGACTTTTTAAGCAGAGGACCAAAGATTGAAGATAAATTAAATATAAGTATAAAAAATTATGTGATAAATATGTTCAAAATATAAAAAATATTTTATGATATAACGATAAATGTAATTGTAAAATCCATTACCGTTATCAAAAAAATGTAACTACGGTACTGTTATAGTTCTAAAAAAAAAAAGAAATAACTTTATCAGTATAAAAAAAAAGTATTACAAATAACATATTATTTCCATTCCCTGATTATGAAGAAGGATAAAGTCTCAATGTGCTTTTTTTCTGTTTTTTTATTTTTTATACCTTGTTTTTTTGCCTCTCATCTCATTTTTCATTTTCTGTCATTCGAAATAAAATTTATTAACGAACTTTAGAAGAAACAAGAAATACGTGGCAAGAAATACAGTTGTTAATAGAACGATCGCAAAGATGAAGTAAAAGGCAAAACAAGAAATAAAGAGCATATTGTAGAATAAGTTTTAAATCATACATTATGTGCATCATGAAAAGAAACACACCCTTAATGATTCGCGAATTTAAATTTACTGTCGTTTACGCGGGAACGCAGTTCGAGATGGCGGTAACTTATGGGAGAAAATCGACGAATCCATGATTAACGAGGCGAGAAAATAATGAGCGTAATATTTTTTGCGAAAGAAACAACTCCGCCGCGAGTCGCCACTCTACGGATGTAGAACAGCTTCCGACATTTACCTACGAGCGGTCACATATATTCTCAAACATTAAACCAGACAGCGATATAATAATATAATTATCAAATTATTATATGAATGTTACTTCTTGAATCTATTTTACAGAAAAAAAATATACAATAGAAATAGAATATGATTAGGGCACAGTGAGTGCAAGAAATAAACATACAGGAAAAAATTGTTATAAAAGTCTTATTTGTAAAAAATAAACATTAATTAGGATTTTATACAATGAATACATTAAGACCTATATAAGAGTTTCGCGTGTTTCTGATCTCAGGAGATAAATTTCTCGACTATACTTTTTGTGAGTCAAATAATACAATTTTTCATTTGCATTCATTGTATTTATTAACAGTGCATGCAAGAGCAGAATATATCTGCCGAAATCAGGAAACCATTCTTTCATCATCAAATCATCTGATAATGACAATATATGTGAAATGTGGCCAAATAAATATTTATCGCAATTGGTGATAAATTAATTAGCAATTATCAGTAAACGAACATGACGTATTTCAAATCAAGTATCATATTTGTAATTGCAGTAACAAGGTATATTATAGTTTCATTATTTGTAATTTTATTATATATAAACATGAATATACATATAAAATTAATAAATACAATTTTATATTCTGTTTGTAATTAATTAATATATATTTTATAATTAATATATATTTTATAATTGTATTATATATAAAATATATATTAATTAATTACAAATAAAGTTATTTTTATTTAAAATTAACTCTCTATCTCTAATCAAGACATTTTTGGCACAAGTAAAATTTCACCCTCTCTGAAATTTTCCCGAAATAAAGGAGAGAATGTTGTTCCTTTTTCTAAAATCTATCTAATTATTAAAAAACATTTGGTAATATAATAGAATTGTTAAAAAAGTAATCCTAAACTTTTCTATATTTGTTAAAGATTTAGAACAGTAAAAATCTTGGACTCTCCAAATAGCACAGATTATTGCAATATTTCAGAAATATGTAGTAACATATTGCAAATGTAGTAATCATATTACGTTTGCTGCAATCAAGATAATTTTTAGATATATTGTATAAAGTTGGACAAAAAAGACTCAAACTGCAGACGGAGGTTATAAGATTTGAGGTTACACATACACACACATACATACGCACTTTCACACGTGCATATATAAAGTTTATCTTTTATAACATTACTTATATATATTATACAATTTTTGATAAAAAATATTTGATATGTGTGCAATGTGTTTGCGTTAAAATATACATAATATTCATTCTTTTACAATAATAATTCTAAAGACGTATTTAATTAAATTAAGTTGATAGCGCAAAATCAGCGCTCAAAATTTGCATAATCAGCGTTCAAAATTGTATAATCAGAAAACTTACCGATTTTATTCGATGTCTTCCGCGTAGATCTCGAATTTTGGACGGTTAAGTATCAATGATCTCGTTTTTCTGTACGAAAAATAAAACATAAATCATAGCGACCGCTAGAATTACAATTTTTGTGAGCTTTCGACTCGTGTATTCTCTCTCTCTCTTTCACGCTCGATTTCGATAGTAATGGATCTCGAATGATCGATATCGCGCGCAGCCAACCGCCAACGTCAGATGGCGAGCGGTGGAGTGGCAGCAGGTTGAGTAGGCAGTTTTTCCTCTCTCCGAGGGGGGAAACGCGAGGAAAGAGAGGTTAGGTTTGCTCGCGGTGATGGCGGCGATAAAGGGCCTGGGTAGGAATATTCCCTACTTAAGGCAACAGGCTGCGGCCCTGCTCGGTAATACCAGCACCAGCGTCAAATCCATCTGCGTGGTGGTGCTGTTCTCGTATTGCCTGTCCTTCTCCGAGGAGGCGATACGCATCCTGAGCGTGACGCCAGGTTACCTGCTGCCGCCGGTCTTCTGGTTCTGGACGGCCTTCACCTTTTGCTTCCTCGAGATACACTTCTGGGAGGTGTGCGTGGACGTCGTGACCGTCGGTTTATGTGGCAAGTTGATCGAGCCCTTGTGGGGCGCCTTCGAGATGATGACATTCTTCGCCATCGTCAACTTCGGGGTCGCAGTGCTCTCAGCGCTCTTCTATCTGTTCCTCTACATGTGCACCAACAACCCGGACATGCTCTTCAGTATACACATACATGGTTTGACCGGCTACATCGCAGGTACTTTCCTTTTACAATTGATTGCATGAACATTCTAATCGACTTGGTTCATTGCTTTGCTTGTCCATTGCCAGAAGTACAAAACACATAAATTGACGTAAATGTTTCACATTTAACAAAAAATAAATTAGAAAATAGTTTTACTGAAAAATATCTATTTTTACAACATTTTTAAAATATTTTATTAGTCACTTTTACCTTGTCACCTTACCTTGAGTTACTTGAGTTACCTATGCGATTTCTAGCATACAAGGATACAATTTAATACAGTGAATCCATTCTTGTTGTATGTTTGCCAATGTTAAACAAGAATGAAATGATTCACTGTGTTGTTCTATGTTTGCTCTAAACAAAATAGATATATATTTATGTACGCTTAAAATGAAATAGATGTATATTTAAAATTTGATGAAAGTAAGATAGAAAGTTTTAATGCAGTATTTTGAAGATCTTTATACTTATGATTGTATAATCACAGAACAGAGCTTTTGTTGATTAATCTTTACAGGTCGAAAAGCCATTATAGTATTGTAACACTGAAAAAATATCATATTTCCATAAAAGAAATACAAATGAAATAGTTATAATTATAACAAATCTTACTTAAGGAAAAGTTGTAAGATTTTAAAAATAGATCTTATCCTCTCTAAAGATTAATTTATAGTGTTATAGATAAAATTTTATTTTGGACTATTTTTACTACTAATAAATACAAATTCCCTGAATTAAATATGCCCTTTTTAAAAATATTTTTCTTAAGGGAATTTCATGGAAATGTATCTTGATACAGCTTTAAATAGAAATAATTACTTTATTCTACAGGAGTTGCAGTAGCAGTGAAGCAAATAATGCCAGATCATATCTTAATCAAGACACCCATTGGGAAGATCACAAATAGAAATATACCCTTAATGGTATGGATTGTGGGATTGACATTGTGGCTCGTTGGGTTACTAGAAGGTACTCATCCTACCATGTTTCTCAGTGGATTATTAATATCTTGGATATACCTGAGGTTTTATCAAAAACACAATAATGGTACCCGAGGTGATATGGCAGACAATTTTACATTTGCGAGGTAAAATTTTTCTGTAATTTTGATTAGTTTCTAGGATCAATGAAAAAATTGAATCCGATGATTGTCTTACTTGGAACTCTCTTTGCAGTTTCTTTCCAAATGTTTTACAACCACCGATAGCAGTAGTGAGTAACACTATACATGGGTTTTTTGTGCGTATTGGATTGTGCCGAAAAATAGTTAGAAGATTTGATATGTCCAACACACCACCTGGCTTAGTTATTAATCTTCCTGGTATTGATCCTCATGACAGTGAGCGACGCCGGTGAGTAGTTACGATAAAAATACAAATGCTGAAACTCAATTTTCAACTGAGTAAATATTTTGTCATTACATATTTTGTCATACATAGTATTCTTATCTTTCCGATCGATATCTATTTTGCAGGCAAATAGCATTGAAAGCGTTAAGCGAAAGACTAAGCAGAGATCACGCGAAACCTTGGCAACCGGACAGGACTAAGAAACACTCCCCAGTGCCTCCCGCGGTTTCCATACCGATACCTGAATCCACTACACCCAAACCACTCGCATCTCCACTCATTCCACAAGTCAGTGTCAATATACATAATCAACATCATCCTTCCAGTAGCAGTACGTGATTACACGAGACTGACTGATTTCAATAGATTTATAAATTACACTGAAAAGCTTCTAAAGAGTAATCATGAATGTAAGGCGCAGGCTTATAATATGGCTATATTCAATAATGGGTGCAAATCGCGTATATATAAATAGAATTTGTTATCACTGCAATATAATTTAAATCAAACTAAAATTTACCATTCTTTTTATGGTGTAAATACATTTAAATTTTATGAAAATTAATAATAATACGTATGATTAAATTCATTAAGAGTACTTATTATACACAGAAATTCTCATTTATTCTTATAATATTCATATGTTTAAACATAATGGAATATTATAGAAAATTTCCACATTGAATAGCTCATATAGTTTTTGAAACTTAAAAATCTCTTAAGACTTTAATGCCTAGTAATTGCTAATTACCATTCTTATGCAATGTAAGTTGCAAGTTTCAATCTTTCATTATTCCTATATAGCAAAGAGTTGATTTTCACAATAAATTAATTATGAAAACCTTTCCTGATTAAAAAGAAATTAATATACTGCCATTTATGAGAAATCAAATTACATGATAAGTAGAAATATGTCATATTTCTGTGATTTTATTTTTATATAATATTTATTTGTCTGTACTAATAATTAAAAAAATAACTTTTGCTATAAAATATCGCAATAAATTATGGGATCACTCCTTATTGATTATCATGCCATATTAATGCCAGTTTAAAAAAAGTATAAGTTCAGAAGATTTTTTTGCATTTGAGAGAAATCAATATTTATATCTTATGATGCTATTTTTCAAGAAATGAAACAATTCTTTGTTATACTAGATTGTATAAAAATGACATAAAAATTTAATATTTCCATAAAAAGGTGACCTTACAAGTTAATAGTGCCATATGATTAAAGCGCACTGTTTCAAAAATCCAATTATAATTAAATAGTAACGTGTAAAGATGCTTTCAGTGCATATACATAGCGACATAATTCTGTTAAAAAAACATTGAAGAAAGTGAACAGATTTCATTTTATTTAAAAATAAATTTTGTACTAATTAAAAATGCGAAAGAGATGGGGAAAGAGATGAAAGAGAGAGAGATGCGAATCTCGATGTTAACTTATACATATATACATATATTGAAATCAGCTAGTTATGAAGTCATGCAGAAAAAGTTCTGCACATTTACATTTCAAGTAAAACATAAATATATATTTTTTCAACAAATTGTTCTAAATCATTATAATCAACATAGAATATAACATTAATTTACTATTATCAGTTCTATTTGGTTTTTAATTTCTAAATGATTTTATACATGAAGATGTATAAAAATTCCAATTTAGATTGCATAACTTTATTTTGTACAGGATCGTTAATTTTATGTAAATGCGTATTTAATGTTGTAAAATGTATTAACATTTTTCATTTATTATATTCATTCGTATATACATAAACGGTATTACGTGGAAATGGAAGATAGTTTTAATAATAATTATAATGAGATATATATCTTGTATATAAAATTTCACGATACACAGACGAATTTGTAAATATAATAAAGATTGATGTAAAACGTAAAGGGAACAAGATATTAAAAAGGGGAAATGATTATATATAGCGATATCGCTATGTATAATCATTATACATAATGGAATGATATCAAGAGTTATTTTTATGTATGATGAGAATAAAATTTTGGAAGTATGTAATTGTGTGTTCTGAGCAATTTTGGTCATCTATTTAACGCAATGATATTGACAAATCTTTTAAGTACTTTTATTGAGTATTTAGTCAAATGATATTTATTACACTATGTCTGAAAAATGGAAGGCCAAAATTCATTGAGTGTGAATGATGTATTTGTTGAAGAAGCCTGTTTTAAGAATTTAATGTAATTATTACATGCATATGTACATGTTATATACACACATACACACACATAAATATACGTATATACATATATATATTATATATATATATATATATATGTATATCAATTTTGTACATAAGTTACAATCGTTACAATCTGTACAATATTAAATTCTACCGATAAAATATCTGTATTTACTTCATTACCAATACATTTTAAAACCAATATGGTCGAAAGGAAAAGAGTAGGAGATTCAGGAAATCCTTAATATTTGTAAATATATTCCAAATATTAGAATAATTAAAAATTCATAAATCTTTTATCAAGGGATATAATCTCATTATTATAATGTCTTGTACCAAATATATACAAGTATATTATATATAAACTTCTTTTGATAACTTTCTTAAAATAATAGATATTTTTCAATTCAACATTCATCTTTATGACGGGATGCCATAATGCTTCAAAAGAACATAACAAATATTGCTTCTACTTTTATCGAGAAATCTTGACGAACATATATAATAACTAAATCAATTTTATTGTAAAATTAAAACAATGTTATTTATCAGGTATAAAACATATTGACAATTGTATAATATATAAAAAATAATATAGAACACACATCATATAAGCATCTGATGCAGCTACATCATTTGTATATACAATATAGATTCGATCCTGAAAAATTGTGGATTCTTGAAATTTTGTACTTTTTAAATAATACATTTTAATAAAATACATAAAATACTTTTAAATAAAATACATAATAATCATAGCTTCAAATTTAAACGCTTATACAATATACGCTCTATATGATAAGAAACATTTTAATTTGATATACATTTAAAATGTAGACTCGTTCACACAATAACGATATAAATATTGAAATATGAAAAATGATACGCTTGTGTATATACATACATACACACACACACACACATATATATATATATATATATATATATATATATATACCCGCGCAATAATAGATAGGATATCATTTTTATAATTCAATATTTACCGTAGATCATTGTATATTATATTGGAAATTATATACATATACATTTATGTAATGTCCCCAAACTTTTCTTCATAAGGGATTTAATAAATAAAGCCCCAATAAGCTGTTTATGACAATCAGTACAACATTTTTCTTTTTTCATTTTATTGGGGTTATCAGATCCCTTCAGAGAAATATAAGAACATTAGATTCAGACCGAGTAATCTTGGATATATTTTTATAATTTGTTTCTTATTTAAATTGAGAAAATGTTTCTCCACTTAAAAATATATATAAAGATAGGCTCAAACTCACATTTTTCACGTCGACTACTCTACCACCAAATTACAACATTCGTCTTTCTTATCTATAAAACTGCTGTTGATGTTGCGACCATTGTGACTGTGGTGGTGGTGGCGGTTGTTGCTGAGACGGTGGTGGACCGTATTGAGGTTCCTGTATATAACCAGTAGGGGATGGCCGTATGGAGGTCGGTGCCGACGATACGTACTGTTGCTGCTGCTGCGGTGGTGGCGGCGGCGGCACATAGGACACCTGAGTGGGATGTTGCGGCTGTGAATAATATTGTTGTGTCGGCTGCGATACTGGCGGTGGCACATTATATCCGCCGTAATTGACTGTCGGTGGTGGCGGCGGAGGCGGTGGTGGTGGCGTCGGATAATAATGATGACTCTGTTGCGCGTGAAGATCGTGCGTAGCTAGAGACGTTGTATCTTGGATCGGTACTGTGATGAGATTGGTTCGCATAGGAGCGTTATTTGGAGGCGGTGGTGGCGGTGCAGTGCTTTGCGCATAACTCTGCATCGACATCATTGCTTGCTGCTGCTGCTGCTGCTGTTGTTGTTGCTGCCTATGTTGTCGATGTTGTTCCAACGTTGGTTGTTGATTCACCAGTGAGTTCACACGAGGATCGTTACCCATGATCGGTTGAACCATGTGAGACTGTACAGATTTAAGCCGTGTGTTTTGTATCTGTACGGAAGATACCTTCGTTAGCTGTGACTCCATCTCTGGTTTAGCGTGTACATATTGCGGAGGATCAACCTGCATTCCTTGGACTGGTTGAGGTGGCGCCGAAATATGCCGATGGTTAATGTGAGCCTATATAATAAATTAGAAAAAGTGTTAAATTTATGTCAACACATCTGGATGTAATAATATTTTTAGGTCGATATTCATAGCCATTTCTTATATTTAAGTGTCTTAAATATAGTCTTAAAATATCACAAACCAATCATAGGATGGTATTTATAGTCAGATGTTATAATATTATATATTCCAGATTGTCTTAGATTTGATCCTATATAATCTTAAGATTCCATTCAATAAAACGATTGTATAGCATCTCAATATCATACTCAAAATTTTAAAATACAAGATTGGACTATAATACCATCCGTAGAATTGTATTAGTATCTTAACAGAAGTAATAAAAGTAAGTCAATGTTTTTTTAATCATTAAAAGGACCAAATTACTATGAAAATAAAGAGATAAAAAATACTTTATTAATGTAAGAATATAATTATTAAAAAATTAAAAAATTCAGAATCCTATCTTTTACACAAGAAATATAATCTAAAGATAATTTAATAATCTAATTAATCTAAAGATAAAAACAGTCTATGACTTAGTACTTCTAGTGTTAAGACTTAAGAGGTTACTTAAGACAGTCATGAAATAAAGATGATTATAAATATCAACTTGAAAGATTAAATTTTATTATCTCATTAATTATTAATCACGCGAAAATTTTCCTGTGTGTTTATAATGTACAATTTTATCAATATTTTCATTTACCTGCAGATCTCGTTGGCTCAGGTATGTTCTTCTGCAACCAGCATTTCCATATCTTGTCCCACCATGTGTACACATGAATACAGTACCCAGACCAGTTTGCTCCACTCTAGATACCTTCTCCATGCAACGAGGGCAGACTTTATCTTCTCTCTTGGCACAAGAAAGGCAGAAAACATGTTTGCAAGGTATCTGAAAAATATATTAAATACATTAGGAGCAAAAGTTAAAACCAAAAATTAGAAAGATGTGTCCGCGTGAGAATGATTGATTCATAATCGATGGATTTTGAATTTAATCGCGAATCTCAGCTTATGAAGTGTCGTGATGGATGACTTAACGCTCGGTCTATGAACTAGCAATCCATGGATCCAGGTTCAATCCCATCCTAACACAACATTTTTTCTGCATTTAAGCTATGCTCTATCTATGAGTTAGAACCTCAACTGAGATTTAGATTAAGGAGCACTATTTATTATATTGATATCCCTCTGATTAAAAAGATAAGTTTAATTAAGTGTATGCAATATTTAAAAATAAGTTGACATTTTGTTACTGGTCAATTTGACTATACTCATGGAGTCAAAGGCCAATTAAAAAAGAAGAAAACTCTCAGCTTAAATGTTTCGCTTTGAAGATTGTGAGTGAAGGAGTATAAGAGGTGACATGCATTGTATCAAACTCAATAAGATTTGATACAAGAAATATGAATTTCTTGGTCCATTCTAATAACAAAACATACCATACGGCCATAGATGAGAATAGGCTTCAAACATTTGTCACAGCAATGTATCATAGGATTCAGTACTTTCTCTCCTATAAGATTCACTCGATGGTCCCATCTCAAACGCAGCATCGGCTCAGGTGGTCCACGATTGATGGTCGTGAAAGTCGGTGCTTCTAGCTGTGATATATCAGCCTCCAAGTCGAATTGTTGCTCAAGAGAAGGTTGCTGAGTCACGGGAGGTTCATGTTCGTTCTGCTCCCCACCAGCTGTTTCTGCAGAAGTATCCTCCGTTTGTTGCGAAGTCTCTTCTTCATCGCTTTCTATAACCTGCAAGCAATGCATAAATATTTTATATTAAATAAAAATTATTAAAATAACATTACTTTACATTTAATTACAGTTCAGATTAATATATTATATATAAAAATCTGCTTTATATACAATATCTACAGTATCAGTGAATGCAATATATGATATAATCAACTATGATAATAAAATAATACATATATATTCTATTAAATAATATGACAATATCATTATTAAGTATTGAATTGCTTAAAATATTTATATATTATTACATTTAAATCGCTTTGCTACTTTTATATAGAAGCTTTTAGTACTAATTCAGTATAATGTAAGTAACTGAATTTATTGTGTATAAATATAGATTTCAAAAAATGGATTATATTAAAGAACAATATTCAATTCAATGACGAATTCAATAAACAGAATCTCAGTTATGAAGATGGCTTCATAATATTATTTGTATAATTTATTAAAGTTAGTTTTATAAGTAATTGTATAAGCCTCTATCATTTTATATAAATGTTATATTGAGGAATAAGTTGACAAATGTATTTGCACTGATTTTTGGATGTAATATTTTTGATCTAAAACTGATTTACCTTAACTTGCTTCTTGGATCTTCCTCTGGAAGCCCGACCCCCTCGGGTACGTCCACGACCTCGGCCACGAGCTCTGCCCCTCATTCTTTTACCTCCATTCTCCTCCATCCCTGAAATCAATACATTATAATTGGATTGCTGCATGCTTCAATATCTCAACAAATTTTGTTATAAATACAAATCAATTCTTCTTACAAGAATTTATTTTTTTAAAAACAAAAAAAAAAGAAAATTATCAATAATTTATTCATGCATTATTTGTAGTTAATCAATGAAACGCAAGTATTCACAAATATAATTTTTAAAGATAATTAGAAGATAAAATTTAGGAATTAAAGATTGAGAACGATAAAATATACATTCTGAATCTGAATCTGAATCAGAAAAAATTTTCATATTGTCGATTTAGCTTCTTCTTGCGAAATTCCTGGTATTTCGTGATCGGCAATTGTGTCTCAAATGAAACGTTAAGGTTATGTTCTGATCGTTACTCTAGCACTTCTCGAGGATAAAGGGCGACGAAGAGCAAGACTGTCACTGGCGATACTCACAATTGATATTTGACGATTAAATATTTGTTTTGCCTCGAGCCGTGAAAAAAATGTTTTCACAACATGTTGGCAATACGCGCGACTCAACCTTGCGATACAATCTTATAACATTGTTGATATGTGACTAATGTGACATGTAATAAACGGATTATCTTTCAGGCGCATGGGTGTTCAAGTTTGACACCACAAGAAAGTTTCTCTCTGCCCGTATCAAGTGCGCGATGTAAACTAGGCCAGTGCATAAGCAACTAATCAGAATCTTTCCTTTCCTCCCATTCCATAAAAAAGAAGAATTTTGATTGGTTGATTTCCTTAGCTCGAATCTACAATAAATTTTTAAGCTTTAAGTCATAAGGAATGGACGAATCACAATCATTTATTCTCCTCGTATTCGACTATAGTTGGTCAATTTTTTACGACTTAAGATTTAAAACACTAGAGTACAGTCAACGCGATGCTACAAACGCTTTGAAGCGTTTTTTAATTGGTCAGTTTGTAAAATTCTTTCTTCTAATTGGTCCATCAAATACTTCAAAGCATTTGTAGCTATACTTTGACCACAGCCAAGAGCGATTGATGCTCACAAGTGCTGTAAGCGCCAAAGCGAACGCATTGTGTATGCGTAGCTATGGGTGTGGTCTCATTATATATGCTTTGAAATATTTGATTAATCGGAAGAAAGAATTTTACAAATTGACTTATCAAAGAATATTTCAAAGCACTCGTAGCATCACGTCGACCGTACCCAATGTCCCCGTCCCCGATGATCTCCATGGACCCCATGTGATGTACGCATTCGTTGCCGTGGAAACGATATTACGCCGGAACGCGGATCGCAGGGTCGTCTACGATGATTGTGACGCCCGTTATAAATAATTATGTGAACCTTGAAATTTCCGACTAACTTTATAAAATGATCTCTACGCGTATTTGCGACAACGACAATTAGAAAAGGATAAAAAGTATATTAAAGTTGATATACATTGGTAAAAATTAATAAAAATGAATATAAATTACGACGAGCGGAATCAAATAGAACGTCTGACAATGGACAACATCGTTCCGATTGAGAATCTCGTTTATTGTCATTCCTACGGCACTGAACGTAGTTGTACTCCCAATACTGTGAATCAAAAGGGACGCGCGGCGGCAACAATAACGACTCCGCTGGAACAAGTGCCTTATCAATCTTGTGCAGCGGTGCAGCGATATCGACGAAGATGTCTTGTTGCGCCGGTAGCAAGAACGAGGAACGGGTCGAGCCGACACGAGTGCGGGGATGCACGGATGTTTTTTGGCTCTGCTTCTTCATAGCGTTCTGGTTTCTTATGGTATGTACGTAGTTGACGCTGTGTATATCTGATGTCATGCATTAATTTCTTTCCTTTTTTTACGTAACAGACGCATTTGTAACAATATTTTGGCATTTGAAATATATTTCGGAGTATCTGAAATACCGCTGATTTTATCGAGAATATAGTTTCTACAAAGTGTTGTTAGAAATTTTATTGGTAGCAGGATTGATAAAGACTAATGTTTTTTAAGAATAAAACATATTGTGTTTTTTCTTAAATATGTTTTTAATGCTTCAAATATACTTTAAATAGTATCAAAAAAAACATTTAAAATATATTAAAAACATCAATAAATGTTTTAAACGTTTAAAACAGGATTTTTATCAATCCTGATTGATAGAGAAGCTACAGATTTAATACAAAATCTATGTCAATATCTATCTAATCAATATCTATGACATATATGTGTATGTTCTTTGTAGCTATAAACTAATATACATTTATTGTACTTGAAAAGAAAAAAATTAAATTTCAAGTTTATCAAAAGTGAGATAGCAAGTTTTAGTGCCACGACAAAGAACAGGCTATTGCAAAGTGCCAATAGAGATATAGAAAAGTTTGTTAGTAAGATGCAATGGTAGATTAATAGCTAAAATTAAGCAAAATTTGCTTACTGTATAATTGCTATACAGGTTATATACATATATAGGAATCTGTGACTTGCTATTAAGATTGACGATAATTAACTTGCAATTAGTAGTGATTTATGATGACATAACAGTTATACTGATATATATATATATATATATATATATAAAACTAGATATCATTTCCATAGTTTATTGAAAAAGACATTTTTTCATTTTAGTCTTTATAAATAAACTTAAAGTTTATTATAATATAATGCAACAATTTATTTGTTTACAGATCTTGATTGCTGCTTTTGCAATAGTCTATGGCAATCCTTTACGGCTCATAAATGGATACGACAGTTTTGGGAACACATGTGGCATGAAGAATAATCCAAAGTTTGGCAGCATGGAGCTTTCTGGACAAGATACCAGCGACAAACCGTCAGTCACATATATTTCTTCCTAATTGAGCCAAAGCATTCATTCCTATGACAATACTTCTGCAAATAAATATGTTATATTTTAGATACTTATTCTTCTTGGATATAAATAATGTTACGCAGTCATTGAAGATTTGTGTGAAGAAATGTCCTGACAGAATTTTGCGGACAATGGAAGATATCTGTAAATTTTACAAAGAGACAGGATCACAATTGTGCCACGATAGACCAGGCGGTGATTTCAGTGCGTGCAATAGCGAGAGTAGTATATTCAAGAACGGATCTTGCCCTGAACGACCGGTTTACCCCAGTATATCTGTTTTAAATCGATGTATCCCTAAAGCAGTGAAGGAAGTGAGCGAAACAATAATCTCAAATTTATATGGCTTAATCAATTCGTGGGATGTTATTGAACAGGTTCTGGGAGACTTATGTAAAACCTGGAAGCAAATTCTGACATTATCTTTTGTTGCCTGTGGTAAGAATTTAGCATACTATTGCATGATAACATATATAGAAGCTATATATAGAGTGTACTTAATTAATCTTTTTGTTTCAGTTTTATCACTCTTTACAATAGCTATTTTTCATTTATTGGCAAGTGTTGTAACATGGATTATAATCGTACTTGTGAGCATTGCTTCCACAGGTAAGTTGCATTTTGCAACTATAAACTTACAAGGAAATTTAGTTTCTTAATAAATGTATACATGTCATAAATTAGCTTATAAATAAACAATGTTTGCAGATAATGAATAAATAGATATCAATAAGTGTATGTGCGCTTTTCGCAGAAAGGAATTACTATTAAAATAAAAACACAAAAAAAGTTTCTCAAGATAATATTTTTATGAATTTGTAATAATTGTTTAAATATTGTATATCTATTGTTGATCAATGATTGTTGATTAAATAAACATAGAAATAAATTACGCTATTAGCTATTTGAATTTGAAAATGCACATGTACTTAGAAAATTGAATACTTACCTTTCTAAAACTTTTAGTGAATCTCATTCTGAAAAATAAAATCTTACTCTTAAAGATTAAAAATTTCCCATTCTTTTTATAGCTTAATTTTCACTTCTTAGAGTGAGAGCTCATTTCAAAGAATTTAGAGAATAGCTTTGATTAGTAAAATCAAGGATATAACATTTTTATTCTACTATTTTTTAGTTTTGAAAATGTACATAGATGCTATGAACATATCTGTATCTTTATATTTTAAAGAATTAGTTTGTAGCATATAAAATTGATATAAAAAATAGTTTATAAATGTTATATTTGTGTTTCTATCTTTTTTTAAATTATGTATATGTCTATACAAATTATCATAGATAATAAATCCCAAAACTTATCTTATATTTGATATATTAAGCAGATTTTATTGCAAAAAGTAATAATGGCATATTTATTACAGCGGGTACAATTCTTTTATGGATGACATATGTTGATATTAAAAAAACCTTAGACAAAACTGATCCAAACCAACTTCTTGAAGAAGCTGTCAGAAATGAAAGAGCATTTCTTGCATTTTCCATTATCGCTACTATTATCACTGTAAATGTTATTCTATAATAAAAAGGATATATATTTATCTTTTACACATAAATATATATAAATATACTTATTAACTTTATTATAAATAATATAGAATTTCTTTTCTTATTCTTTTCATTTTACAGGTTATTTTACTGTTTCTTTCATGTATATTACGCAAACGCATCAATTTTATGGCGGCACTATTCAAAGAAAGTGCAAAATGCTTAAGAGAATTGCCTGGCTTATTTTTCCAACCAATCTTAACATTTATATCTTTGATATTGTTTTTTGCCTTTTGGATATTTGTAATTCTTTGTCTTGCAACAGCAAGTAAGTATCTTACTTACAATAAATGTAATTGAAAATCGAGCTTATTTTATGATCATGATAAGTAAATTTCTTATGCTTTATTATAGATTATCCTGAAACAAAATCAGTACAAATGTATAAAAATACTATATTTGATCCTGTCAACTTAAGCTCGGTTGGTGAAAACGCTCCATTAATTGAGGAAAAGAAGATCGATTTTTCTCTTGATTCTTTCAAAAGTAATTTATTGTTTCATATGTATATATATATGTATGTGAAAAAATGCATGTGAACACATGTATATCTTGGCTGTGTTTCAAAATTGACTTCCAGCGAAAATCAAGAGACAATAATATCTCTGCTAAGACACGCGCAGTCTACAATTTGTGTTACGTACATTATAGATTTTCAACATTGGCAATGTAAATTTTGGAGCATAGCCTTATAATTAATAAAGAAAATGAAATAAATTGAATTATTGAACATTTCAGCTTTTACTCTCGTAGAATATGTTGATGTGACTTGGGTGAAATACATGTGGTGGGTATATCTTATAGGATTGATATGGACATCAGAATTTATTGTTGGATGTCAAGGCATGGTAATATCAGGTTCTGTTGCTCACTGGTACTTTAGGTAATATTTATAATAAATTGGTGTAAAATATTTGTATAGACATATTTATATTCAATATGCTTTAATAATGACTAATTTCTCTCATTAGAGATAAAAACGCCAGCTCATTTCCAGTATGTTCATCCATAGGACATTTAGTTTGTTATCACATGGGCTCTGTAGCATGTGGATCACTTTTGATAACCATGTTTAAGTTACCCAGATTGATTTTAACATATTTGTATGCCAAGTAAGTTTTTTTGTAAAAGAAAGATTCAGATGTTCATCATTTTTTATCAAGGATTTTTCGATTCTTGATTACATCCTTGAAAATATGTCATCTTTTTAT